ATGGCACCAGAACATCCCAGTATGAACACATTCCACAGAGATAACAAGGAACAGGCAGACCCATCCTAAAGACAAGGTCAGAAGAACAATACGATGGATGGACTTGTTTGTTCGAACTAACCTGTACCAGGGGCGAGGCAGCACCCTAATGCATAGAGGGGTTGTACCTCAATACGTCAGGAGTGATGTGTAACTTGTTTGTACCTGTGTATAAGAATGTATCCCTGAGTGGACGTCTTTGTCTGGCCTAGGGGGGCAGTGGAGAGTCCTGACACTGACTGAGCCGGTCCATTGTCAGGGGCACATATTCGTAGTATGTCCTGTAGAGTCTGCGGGGAACTATTACTGTGCTTCATTTGACAATAAAGTTGGCCAGCTGCCTTCGTCCCTTATCGGAGTCTGTGGTCATTGGGGGTTCTCTCGGGGTCTGCTGTGTCAGCCACCTGTGCAAAGCCAGAGTAGCACAAAAAGGGAACACACGCACACAGCTGAGTGTTATCATCATGGAACAGAGCAGAGCACCACACCAGTAGCGTCTGATGACAAATACTTCAGGCTTTTCTGCATTATTATGTATAATTCTACCATTTTCATCTAGTAATGGACCAATACCATTGTCAGGATTCTTATTGCTCCTAAAACATTTTAAAAACTCCTTCTTATTGTCCTTAATTCTGCTGGCCATAGATTTCTCCTTGTGTCCCTTGGCTTCCATTATCAATTTCCCCTATAATCAAAGAACCTTTCCCTCCCCCCCAGCACAGCCACCAACGTGCACTTCATGCACAAGAAATCCCTTTGGGCTTCAGGCAGGGAAGGGAACATGGATGTCCGTTGCCGGTCACCTCTGCTGTCCCATTGCTGGCTGTCTTGATATCACACGGAGTGCTGCAACTGGAAGGAAAGCTCTTTCACTCCCGCTCCAAACTCCCCTGTGAGTTGCCTCTGTTTACGGCTCTCGAGTTCACCTAGCAAGTGATGTTTTATACCAAGTGGCCCCACTTCGCTCAGGTCAGCTCTGCCCCTCGTCTCCAGGGAGCGATTGGCCACTCAGGAGGCTTCAAACAGCGGGGCTGATGAAAACTCCCAGGGCTTAGTCAGGGTCCCACAGCCCAGCTCCCCAGCCCATACACAGAGAATGAACAAACTGTCAAACAACACACACATGGGCCAAACGCACCACTCACCAAGTCCCACTACCTCCAAGCACACACTTTGCAGCTGAATCTACTGCCTCAGGAGCTCTCCTGTTAAGGTTAGCATGAGGTTAGGGTTATAGATTGAAATGTGCTGGTGTTGTTCACCTCTTTTCTTTCTTTCTATCACAGTGTCTGAACGAAGACGGGGTGAATTTATGTTCTCACAAGCTGGCTTGCTGATTTATTTTCCCTTGGTACATAACACATTTATTTTTAAGTGCCCTGCAGGTGTGTCCATCCATTGCTAAGGGAACCCAGGTGTCCTGGTCCTACCACAGTTTGAATCATTGCATTCCACCTCCCAGAATTAGCCCTAGGATTTCGATGGGATGGAAAAGTCTTTTTCAGTTTCTCTTCCAAATATATGGGAAACCTCTCTTCCCTGAGCTGGGGATAGAACCCAGGAGTTCTGACTCCCACGCATCCTCTCTCTCTCTCTAACCACTAGATCTCACTCCCACTCCCAGAACACCATTGTGGCATTATAAATACTTTCACGGTAGGGGGACTCTACCAATTCAACCAGATCTATTTCTGAACCAACATTGTTGACTCTGCAAAATCTGTGTATATACCTTTCTGTCTTTCTTTCTTTCTGCACGGTCTTTCCTTTTTAGTCTTTGGTTTTTTAAAACCTGTTCTCAAGATATAAAATAGCTGTAAATCCCCTGGCGCTTTTCCCGGGAGCCCGGGCTTGAACCCCGGTGTCCAGCCCAAATTGTGACTCACTCATTCATACTTTGAGTCCCTGGCTCTGTCTCAGTGCTGGGTGACCCATTCCCATGAGCCCTCGCTGTGTGGCTGTTCTCCAGCTGCTCACCCCAGAGGTGGCTGCTTCTTGGTGCCAGATGGGGATCTTTGTACAGACGGTGGACATTTCTGAGGGGTGTATCCCCACACACCCTTCTGCCCCCCATACCTCCTCCTCCCCTGGGCTCTTCTCTTTCCCCAGGTACCCAGGGACTGTCTCTCCCTATGTGTCTTTGCAGCACCCAGCCCGACGGGGAGGCCCCCTGTCTCGATCAGTACCAGAAAAACGCAATACAGACATCAGATAAATTGTGTGGTCAGAGTGCTTTTTATTCCATACTTTTTCATCTTTTCATTTCGATTAACACCTTAAAAGGGAGGAGCATTAATCTCTGGGGGAATTTCCTATGTGGGGAGGCGCATGGATTCTCTATCTCTTGGAGTATTGAAATTAAGAGTGAATTCCTTTTCTAAAACCACATGCCAGCTCAACTATCCGATATGGGCTGGATGGGGAACCCCTCGATTCCCTTTATAAGTGACCCATGCTAGCCCAGTTGCTGTAAAGGCCGGGGAGAGCGCAGCCTAGGGGTTAGCACTGGGCGTGGGCCAGAGGAACCAGGCCAGGCTGGAATGCCAGGAGTGAGAATCAAGAGAGAAACCAAATGACAGGGATCAAGGGTCTATTACCAAGAACACCAGGTCAGGTTCAAAGAGCCGCAGCCAAATCAGGAGCCTTAGAGATCTCTCTGAGAGAGCGCAGGGGCGGAGCTTGTACCCCAGTCAGGGTTCATGGCCCCCAGTCCTAGCTGCTCTCTGCAAGCTACTTGGTGGAAGACTGGAGTGTGATTGTTCCTGGACCCTCTGTGGACTGGGGTTCAAGACATAAGAACATAAGAACGGCCGTACTGGGTCAGACCAAAGGTCCATCCAGCCCAGTGTCCTGTCTGCCAACAGTGGCCAATGCCAGGTGCCCCAGAGGGAGTGAACCTAACAGGCAATGATCAAGTGATCTCTCTCCTGCCATCCATCTCCACCTTCTGACAAACAGAGGCTAGGGACACCATTCCTTACCCTGCCTGGCTAATAGCCATTAATGGACTTAGACCCCTATGACCTCACAGCTATCAGATAAGGGGTGGTATGTTCCTTTTTGTAACAGACACACACTAGCTCAGCTAGCAGGTAGGGCTTGGATGGAGGATTCCTTTTGTCAGGGTCCCCACACCCACACTCTGAACTCTGGGGATACAGATGTGGGGACCCACATGAAAGACCCCCTAAGTTTATTTCTATCAGCTTAGGTTAAAACTTCCCCAAGGCACAAATCCTTTCCTTCTCCTTGGATGGTGTTGCTGCCACCACCAAGTGATTTACACAAAATTTCAGGGACGGGTCACTGGGAATCAATATCCCACAACTCCCTTCACCCCTTTCCTGGTGAGGCTTGAGAATAATATACCAATGAATTAGTTAGCTATGTGAGCCCAGACCAGACCATTTGTTTTTGGGACACTGAAAATCAATCAGGTTCTTAAAAGAAGAACTTTATTTATAAAGAAAAAGAAAAAGAATCACACCTGCAAAAGCAGGATGGAAGGTAACTTTACAGGGTAATTAAAAGATTTAAAACACAGAGGATTCCCCTCTGGCTCAGCTTCACAGTTACAAAAACAGGAATAAAACAACCTCTGTAGCATAGGAAAATTCACAAGCTAAACCAAAAGATTATGTAATGCATTTCCTTGCCTTGCTTGCAATTTCTGTGATTTTACATGGATTATTCCAGGTATATTTTCAGGAGATGTTGTACCTGCTTGGCTTCTCCCTCCATCCAGAGAGGGAACAACAAAGAGAGAGCACAAACAAAACCTCCCCCCCCCCCCACGATTTGAAAGTATCTTCTTTCCTCATTGGTCCTTCTGGTCTGGTGCCAATTAGGTTATTTAACCTACTTAACCCCTTACAGGTAAGGCGATTCAGTACAGCTGCCAAGAGGGATTTTATGCTGCTCTTCTCTCTATATTTATGACACTCTTTCTAAGAGTCATGTGCTAGCTCAGCCATCACATATGGGCTGGAGGGAGGGAGGCCTGGGTTGGGCCATCTGGGCTGTGCCGTGCATGAGGCTAGATTGGAGGACTGCAATGATCCCTTGTGGCTGTGCTCTTAGCACCATCCCTGCCATGGGTTCAAATCCTCCCAGACCCCTAAGGGATGGAGGGGGACTTAAATTATCTTGGGGCTTGGGTTGGTCACTGTCTGCAGTTCTCAGCACAGCCAGATGGAGGAACTGCAGGGATAAGTCATCTTGTCCCCCTGTCTCCATGGGCTTGCCCAGGATCTGTGCATGCAGCCCCCACTCCTCATTCTCTGAGGCACAAGCCTATTGCATCAGAGGTTTGATGAGGCAATGGGGCAGCAGCTGATGCAGCAGCACACATGGGAGTGAGGCTATGAGGATGGGGTCCCCCCACAAGCCAATGTAATGCCAGTGTCTTGGAGGGTGTCCAGGTGTGTGGTGGGGAAACTGAGGCAGAGAATGTGGAAAGGGAAAAACAGGCCAGAGAAGTGGAGCTGCCAGGGAAAGATAATTAAAGAGAGTGAAGGAAAAGGAAATAACAGCCCCTTCCTGAAAGCAGAGAGATATTTTGGCAGCCAGAAGAGGAAGGTAAAGAGGCTTCCAAGGAGCCTGTGGGGTGGCTGGCAAAGAGCCCAAGAGAGGGATAAAGAGGTGGGGGGGGGAGAATGGAAGGATATAAGGACACAATCTGGCATTGAAGCAAGTGGGAGAGGGAGGCTACGGCCTGACCGCTTGCATGCGTGCGTGCATGCGTATGCGGGCATGTGTGTGTGTGCATGTGTCCCTGCTCCTCCTGCTGGAGGAAATCAGAACCCTTTGCATCCTCGTTAGCATTAGCAGTGTTTGCGCAGGACAAGCTGGGATCCGGGCCGTGCACCCGTCAGAGGCAGTGATGAACTGAACCCCCATCTGGAGGGGGCTTTGATGGGGGCCTGGTGGGATGCGCTGGGGCATGGGGGGGGTGAATCTCACAGGATCATGGGGACAACTGCAGCTAGGAGAAGCATGACAGGCAGAGCTGGCACTAGGCATAAGCAGACTAGGCAATGACTTAGGGCCCCGAGCAGCCCAAGGGGGCCCCCGATCCACTTTGCCTGGTTTAGTGTTGTGTGGGTGGGGGAGGCCCCCAAAATATTCCTTAGGGCTCCCAAAGGGCTAGCACCAGCACTGTTGGGCTGCATGACAGACATGCCAGGCACAGTGACGGGTATGGTGCGGAGATAGCCCTGGATCCAGTCGGCGTAGGGGGGCAGCAGGATGTAGACCCCTGGGCGGTTGGGGCGCGCGCATTCCACGCCCCAGCTCACCACCCCGGCCAAGAGCCACGCGTTGTCCCATTTGCAGACCAAGGGTCCCCCAGAGTCACCCTGCAGACAGCAGAACCATGGAGTCAATTCCTGGTATGTCCTCTAGGGGGCGCTGGCTCTGATCAGCCCCAGTGCCAGGGACTGGCTGGTTCAAAGAGATGGGAAATGGGACATGGGGCCTTTCCCCACTAGGGGGCACCGGCTCTGATCCGGCCCCAGGGCACTGGCCCCAGGGCAGTGGCCAGCTCAGGGGGGCAGGGAATGGGACATGGGACCTTTCCCCTCTAGGGGGCATCAGCTCCAGCCCCAGGCGGGGAACTGGCTGGCTCAGGGTGGGTGGGGAATGGGACATGGAGCCTGTTCCCTTCTGGGGGGCACCGGCTCCGCTCTGGGATTGACTGGCGTATGGGGAGAGGGAGTCAGAGAATAGGATACAGGGTCTCACCTGACATGCATCTTTCTCCCCTTCCGGATACCCTGCGCAGATCATATCCTGCTTGATGGGATCAGTCCCCTGAGGGTCGTCTGGGTATGAGCTGGTGTTGAAGAGGTTGTTGCAGGTGTCTCTGTCTATCAGGGGAACCTGCACCTCTTGCAGCGTTTTGGGGGCTTCCAGGCTCTCTGAGGACAGACAGACGAACAGAGCTGAGTCACCCCCATGGAAACAAGCCATTCCACAGCTGCAGAGATCAATCGACGTAAAAGTATTGCTGGACAGCTCATCCCAGCCACTGTTGGGACTCCAGCACCAGCACCGCTCCATGCTGACCAGCAGAGGGAGCCCTTGACCCTCACACTTGCACAGGTTCCCGCGGGACACAAGCTGTGGGTCAGCCGAACTCCCCACCTTCCCACAGAGCTGTCATCGGGGCGGCTCTATGTATTTTGCCACCCCAAACACAGTGGTCATGCAACCTTCGGTGGCATGCCTGCAGGAGGTTCGCCGGTCCCGTGGCTTCAGCGTACCTGCCACCGAATTACCGCCGAAGCCGCGGGACCGGCGGACCTCCCGCAGGCATGCCGCCGAAGGCTGCCTGACTCTGCCGCCCTCATGCCAACTTGCCACCCAATGCATGTGCTTGGGGCGCTGGTGCCTGGAACCGCCCCTGGCTATCATGGAATGGAAAAGGTCTCTCCCTGCCTCAGTTTCCACATCTGTAAAATGGGGATAACGATCCCGACCTCCTTTGTAAAGCACTTGGAGATCTACGGGATGGAAAGAAGTAGGTACGAGCCAGCGATTTGTTATTACTACAGGATCAAAGCCACCGCGTCAGTTGCTCCCATCTCCCCATCAGCAGAGGGACCCGCTTCGGGCATCAAACCGCAGGACACTGGCATCACTAGAGATCCATGCACAGAGCCCTGGCACCAGCAAAACCCTGCGCTGTAGCAGGATGCGCAAAGCTGCCACAGACTCTCACCCAATGCAAAAACAGGGACCATAAACTAGGCGTGGAAATTGGAGGGTTCAAAGACAAGGAAGGATGACAGAGGAAATTCCACCAGCAACTTGCTAGATCAGTGGTTTTCAAACTGCGGGTTGTGACCCAGTACTGGGTCATGGAATGGAAGGCACTGGGTCCCGGCGGCTCTCATCAGCACTGCTGACCGGGCCATTTAAAGTCCCGTCGGCGATGCTGCCCGGCTAAGCCAGGCTTTGTCACTACCTGTTCTGACACCGTGCTGCGCCCCTCCCACACCCAAAACCCCTCATTCCCAGCTCCCTTGGGTCTTGGGCATCAACAATTTTCTTCAACTGGGTCGCCAGAAAAAAAGTTTGAAAACCCCTGCATTAGACCGCTACAGCTCCAGGGTACACATGCAGAGCGACATTTGCAAAGCAAAAGCAGGATTTCTCCAAAGGCAGAATCAATGGGGGTAATATCCAAGAGGTAGAAATACGGGAGGCGTATGCCAGGAACACACTAGATGGCTACAAATCCATCCGTACAACGATCATGCGAACAGCACCACAGCAGGATCTGCCACGATACCGCAGGGTCACACTGAATGCATGATGGGGTAAAGCAGGGGTGGGAACTGGATGGATGAAGGGAGGGTCCAAAGCCCGAAGAGGAACAATGGTGGAAATTGGCTAGCAATGGGCTAGCCTGCTATGGATCCATGCACAGAACAGACACACTAACAGGTTATCTTCCCACAGGAAGATGTACAAAACTAAAACAATCTCTCACCCAGTGCAAGATGAGGGACTTTAAAGGTTAGGGTTAAGGTTAGGGTTGGGGGTAGAGTATAGGTTATCTTTAGGTGTAGGGTGAGCATAACTGTTAACTTGAAGGTCAAGAATGACGGTTATTGGTGGGGTACAGCAAGATTTAGTGATTGTGTTAGGGTTAAGGTCAGTTAAGTTTCATGGTGAATAGGGAAGGGTTAAAGTGTTAGTGTTAAGGTTAGAATTAAGGGTTAGGGTTAAGTGTAAAGGTTCGATTTAGGTAGGTTTGGAAGGATTCAGTTTTGATTGGTGAATGTCAATTTCAGCATGCACGCACAAACTGAAGACAAAACATTTCTACTGATAATAATGGAAATTTACATATAGGCAACGTAAGAAAAGTGCGGCTTGAGAACGTATGGTAGTCACACCTTACTGGGTATAAAGCAGGTGGTCATGAATGCTACATAAAGCATGTATTTACAGTTCTGCTAAAACAGCTGGTGCTGCATTACCGGAGCACGTGCTGCAGATAATTATGCAGTGATCATAAAGCTTTCACTTTTTGAATCTTACGATCTACTGGAATTAAATAATTATTGTCTGACTCTCCCCCTACAATTTCCCACAACTGTGAACATTTAAATTGATAAAATGGGGGGAAACGCTTAAAAATAAACATTGATATCGTCCATCTAAATTATAAAAAAACTCAAATTCTGCCAAGCCTAAATGTGATCAGGGACCATAAAGGTTAGGACTGGGGTTAGGGTTAGGGCACAGTGTTATCTTTAGCTGTAGGGTGAGCATAACTGTTAACCTGAAGTTTAAGAAAGAGTTATTAGTAGGGGGTAAGGCTAGAGTAAGTGTTAAGATTACCCTAACACTTGTTCGAGGTTAAAGTTGTATTAGGGTGAGAATTCAGTGGTAGGGTTGAGTTTAAGGGTTAGATTCAGTGTCGAAAGTTAAGATTAGTGGTTAGAGTTAGGGTTAAATTTAAGGGCTAGAGACAAGATTAAGGTTAAAGGTTAGGAGTAAGGGTTAGTGTATACTTTTACCTTTAGCGGTAGAGTGAGCATTTACATTAAATTTAGGGTTAACTTTTATGGTTGGGGCTGGTGTCAGGGATATATTTAGGGTTAAGGGTATATCGGGGTAGAGAGCTAGATTTTTATTTAGATTAGCATTGCAGGTAAAGTAGGGTTATGGTTATAGTTAGGATTAAGAATACAGCGGGGGTATAATGCTAGATTTTGATTTATGGTTGGTGTTGCAGTTAAAAATAAGATTAGGGATAGGGTTAGGGGTATAACAGGGGTATAGCACTAGATTTTAATTTACGGTTAGCAATGCTGTTAACAGCAAGGTTAGGTTTATAGTTATGATTGATGTTATAGCAGGGGTACAATGCTAGATTTTGATTTAGGGCTAGCATTTCAGTTGACAGTAGGGCTACAGTTCTCGTTTGGTTTAAGGATGTCTCTGTGCTATAATGTTAGAGTTTGATTGAGGGTTAAAGTTAAGACTTAAGTTTTATGGTTAATAGTTAAGGATTAATAGTTAGGTTTAAGGATTATGTTGGAGATACGGTTGTGTTAGGTTTAGAAGTAAGGGTTAAGGGTTAGGGTTACATTTAAAGGTTAGATCAGGGACCATAAAGGTTAGGATGGGGGTGGGAGTTAGAGTATGGTATTATCTTTAAGTGTAGGGTGATCATAACTGTTAATCTGAATATTAAGGATAAGGGTTATTGGCAGGGGGAAGGATAGGGGTAGGTTTAGTGTTGGGGTAGGGTTACGGGTGGAGGTTAAGGTTGTGTAGGGTGAGAATTAAGGGTTAGGGTTGAGTTTAAGGGTTAGATTCAGGGTTAAGTGTTAAGATTTAGTGGTTAGGGTTAGGGTTAAGGGATAGAGATAGGGTTTAGGTTAAAGGTTAGGGTTAGGGTTAGGGTTAGGGTTAGGGTTAGGGTTAGGGTTAGGGTTAAGGGATAGAGATAGGGTTTAGGTTAAAGGTTAGGGTTAGGGTTAGGGTTAGGGTTAGGGTTAGGGTTAAGGGATAGAGATAGGGTTTAGGTTAAAGGTTAGGGTTAGCATAGAGTTTCAGCTTTAGCTGTAGGGTGAGCATTTAAATTAAATGTAGGGTTAAGTTTTAGGTTGGGGTGGAGGTTAGGGTTCTGCTTTGGGTTTAGGTTATATGTGGGTCATTGTGCTCGATTTTGATTTGGGGTTATTGTTACAGTTCAAAGTAGCATTAGGGTTCAGGGGAGTATTAGGGATTAGGGGTAAGGTTAGGGGTTAAGGTTAAGATTATGGTAGTAATATGCCCCAAAGCTGTTCATAGATTCATAGATTCTAGGACTGGAAGGGACCTCGAGAGGTCATCGAGTCCAGTCCCCTGCCCTCATGGCAGGACCAAATACTGTCTAGACCATCCCTGATAGATATTTATCTAACCTACTCTTAAATATCTCCAGAAATGGAGATTCCACAACCTCCCTAGGCAATTTATTCCAGTGTTTAACCACCCTGACAGTTAGGAAGTTTTTCCTAATGTCCAACCTAAACCTTCCTTGCTGCAGTTTAAGCCCATTGCTTCTTGTTCTATCCTTAGAGGCTAAGGTGAACAAGTTTTCTCCCTCCTCCTTATGCCACCCTTTTAGATACCTGAAAACTCCTATCATGTTTCCTCTCAGTCTTCTCTTTTCCAAACTAAACAAACCCAGTTCTTTCAGCCTTCCTTCATAAGTCATGTTCTCAAGACCTTTAATCATTCTTGTTGCACTTCTCTGGACCCTCTCCAATTTCTCCGCATCTTTCTTGAAGTGTGGTGCCCAGAACTGGACACAATACTCCAGTTGAGGCCTAACCAGTGCAGAGTAGAGCGGAATAATGACTTCTCGTGTCTTGCTCACAACACACCTGTTAATACATCCCAGAATCAGGTTTGCTTTTTTTGCAACAGCATCACACTGTTGACTCATATTTAGCTTGTGGTCCACTATAACCCCTAGATCCCTTTCTGCCATACTCCTTCCTAGACAGTCTCTTCCCATTCTGTATGTGTGAAACTGATTTTTCCATCCTAAGTGGAGCACTTTGCATTTGTCTTTGTTAAACTTCATCCTGTTTACCTCAGCCCATTTCTCCAATTTGTCCAGATCATTTTGAATTATGACCCTGTCCTCCAAAGCAGTTGCAATCCCTCCCATTTTGGTATCATCTGCAAACTTAATAAGCGTACTTTCTATGCCAATATCTAAGTCGTTGATGAAGATATTGACAGAGCCGGTCCCAAAACAGACCCCTGAGGAACCCCACTTGTTATACCTTTCCAGCAGGATTGGGAACCATTAATAACAACTCTCTGAGTACGATTATCCAGCCAGTTATGCACCCACCTTATAGTAGCCCCATCTAAATTGAATTTGCCTAGTTTATCTATAAGAATATCATGCAAGACCATATCAAATCCTTACTAAAGTCTAGGTATACCACATCCACAGCTTCACCCTTATCCACAAGACTCATTATCCTATCAAAGAATAACGAGTTTTCCAGTCACCATCCGGGGGACCCCAAGAACCTCCTCCCCCATTAACCGCCAAAGTCCTAACATTTCCCCACAATCCCCCATTCACCCCCTCACCTCCATTCTGAGTGTCACCCCAGCCGGTCACCCAGCACTCCATGCCCGCGGGGAACTCCACAGAGGAGGCCGGAAGGCAGATGGGGCGGATAACTTCGTTGAAGCTCACAGCTCGTTCCAGCTCCACCAGCGCGATGTCACCGCTGGAGCTGATATTGGTGTAGCTGGGATGGTGGTAAATCTCCTTGATGGAAACTGATACTAGATTTTCAGAGGGGTTCTGGAGCTGATATTCCCCTAGGTTCACATGATAGACAGACTTGTTCCTAGATACAAGAGGAATAGAAAGGGGGTTCACCCAGCAGTCAGATTTAGCCAACTCTGGGATGGGGCAGCTGGGAACCAGCTGTACAACTGATGGGGATGGCTAGCCTGAGGCTGAGATGCAGCTGCCTCTGGGACAAGCTGGGGAACAGCAGCCCATAACACCACACAGGGATGGCTCGCCTGGCAATGAGATGCAGCCGTCTCTGGGGTGGGACAGCTCGGGAGTGGCCATACAGTGACACTGCAGGGAGATGGTTCACCTGGCACTGAGAAGCAGCTGCCTCTGGGACGTGGCAGTTGGGGAACAGCCGCACAGTGATGGCTCCCGCCTGGGTTACTCACCCATTGAAGCAATGAGCTGCTGACACCACCCAGCTCTCGGCAATGAGGGACCCTCCGCAGATATGGTTGCTGCCTTCACGGATGCTGACCTGCCAGGGCCAGGCCCCATTCTCAGCATTATTACCCCCCACAATGCGGGGAGATTCCATTGGCTGCTCACAAGCTGAGGAGAAAGGTGGGGAAAAGAGTGAATAGAAACCAGGAGTCCTGGTTCCCAGCCACTGCTGCTCTAACCCACTAGACCCCACTCCCCTCCCAGAGTTGGGGCGAGAACCCAGGAGTCCTGGCTCCCAGGCCCCACTGCTCTAACCCATTAGATTCCACTCCCTTCCAAGACCCAGGGCTAGAACCCAGGAGTCCTGGTTCCTGGTTGCCTGGCACATAGCCTCTATCCTGTCTTCCATCCCCAACCTCTGTCTCCCCACCCATACATTCACCTCTACTCCTCTTCTCTGGGGTGGGGTGGGGTAGGACTGTGAGGCCTTCAGCAGGGCCGGGTACACCCAATCACAGCACAGTATTCCCTTAAAGGAATATCAGACTTAATATGTTTGCACTTCCCAGGAGAGGGCTGGGCAGCACATATGTTTCTGGGGGAAATCTGGGACTGGGGGTATGTTGGGGTCACCTGATGGGACTCTTTAAGGCTGGTAAGAGCCCAGGTGTGGCTGCAGCCCACACACAGACATAGCTGGGAGCGACCTGCAAGTTGGAGGCTGTGAGCAGGCCAGACTGGAGGCTACAGCAGCAAGGCATCGTAATGGGCACCCCAGGTTACAGGGCAAGGGTGACTCGGCTACTCATTAGTCTGGATTGTGCCCTGAGTATGTCACAGACCTGTCTGCAATGAAACCAAAGTGAAGTTGTTTTAACACAGGGTGAGGGAGAGATTCAAAATAAAGGCAAGGAACGTGATGAGGAAACATAAGGTTACAGGTGGAAGAAAAACAAAACACAGTCTACAGCCTGTACCTGTTAACAAGGTACTGTCCTGTCTGATAGGGTGTGACTCACTCAACGGTTAGTTCTTCCAGCCCTTGTCCAGCCCATAAACCTGGGATCTACCATTCCTGAGACTTCACCCCCCACACTCTGCAGGTTCATTGCCTTTGTGAATCTCCAGCCTGCATCTCATGCTGACAGTACTCAGAGGCTGTCTCCACAGGCGTCCAGTTTTCAGACGTCACATCAGATTTGGAACACAACAGCCTACGTCACTTAGCTCTAAACTCATTCACCACATGAACATCTCACAATAATCGACAATCAGCTGAGCCTCAGAGACCCCACGAGGCCCTTTCAGTGTGCATGGTCGGACATAGATATAATGTCCCTGCCAGCATGTGGATGGGTGAGTTTGGGCAAGTCTATGTTGCAAGCGCTTAGGGAGCGAAGAAAGAGCAGGCAGGGCTGGGATTATTGGGGTTCAGGCTACCATGGAGGTTAGGTTAAAGATATCATGGGATTGGGGACAAGGTCATTTAAATATAAAAGTGGCCAATTAAATAAATTAACACAAGCCATCTCAGTAAAACTTAACACATCCTGTCTTCATTCTGCTACTAGAAAGAAAGAAAGAAAGAAAGAAAGAAAGAAAGAAAGAAAGAAAGAAAGAAAGAAAGAAAGAAAGAAAGAAAGAAAGAAAGAAAGAAAGAATTGGAAATGAAATCAAATGAAAACTAGACAATGATAACCTCCATGATAAACTTTGTTATAACCGCAATTAAAACCTTCACCCAGCGATACCCTTAACCCTAACCCAATAATAACTGTCACGGTGTCACGGGGCGATGCTCTGGAACTGCTCCCTACGAAGCCAGTCAGGACTCTGGGGGAGCCTCGTCTCTGTGAGCAGATTGTCTCCAGGGCAAGAAGTTTACACAGCTTCGACCTTCCTGGGTCTGACCTCGGAGCATCCAGCCTCCCCTTCTCCACCATGCACTTCCCACAGCGAGTCCGCCCAGGTGGGACTCCTGGGGAAGCCAGTGGGCCCTGCACCACAATTCCGCAGTCATACGTGACTCTCAGCCAGCCAGTAAAAAGAAGGTTTATTAGATGGCAGGAACAGGGTCTAAAACAGAGCTTGTTGGTACAGAACAGGACCCCTCAGACAAGTCCCTCTTGGGGGGCCAGGGAGCCCAGAGCCCCCTCTGGGCCTCCCTCCATTTCCCCAGCCAGCTCCAAACTGAAACTCTCCAGCCCCTCCTCTGGCCTTTGTCTCTTTCCCAGGCCAGGAGGTCACCTGATGTCTTTGTTCTCCAACACCTTCAGTTGGCACCTTTGCAGAGGAGGGGCCGAGGCCATCAGTTGCCAGGAGACAGGGTGTCGGCCATTCTCTGTGCAGACACCATCACACAAGGCTCTGCAACAATCACACACCCTTACCCCACCACCTAGATACTTCAGAACTGCATAGGGGAAACTGAGGCACACACACAGTATTCAGAGAAGGGCTAGCAGGGGGAGGGATAGCTCAGTGGTTTGAGCATTGGCCTGCTAAACCCAGGGTTGTGAGTTCAATCCTTGAGGGGGCCACTTAGGGATCTGGGGCAAAATCAGTACTTGGTCCTGCTAGTGAAGGCAGGGGGCTGGACTCGATGACCTTTCAAGGTCCCTTCCAGTTCTAGGAGATGGGATATCTCCATTTATTTTATTTTATTTTATTTTATTTTTATTAACAACATTCCCACTTCGTCACAATAACCTTAACCCCAAGTTAACTTTAACCCTTGTTCCTAATCCCTATGATACCACTTGTTCCCCTGCTCTAACACAGGAGACCCCACTCCATTTGCGCAGCCAGGATAGGACCCAGGAGTCCTGGCTCCCAACCTAATTCTCATTCCAAAGGACCCGGGCAGGTAAGGCTAGCATTTTGCTGTGGGTGTCTTACCTGCCTGATTCTGACTCACTGGAGCACATATGGAGCAAACAAAGGGAAAAGAAAGATATTACTGTGTGCCTGTGGGGAAGGGGGGTTATACAATCATCCCTGGTGTCTGACACAATGTGTCTGTTGGAATGGGTGCCAATAGCTTCACCCACAGTTCTGAGGCTCCACCCAGTCTCCTGAAACAGCCCTGCTATCCACAGCAACAGCTAAAAGTCTTAGTAGTGTCGTTATTCAACTCACCATCTGTAGGTTCCAGAATTAACAATCCCCACTGATCTGAATGGGGTGGCTCAGGAGTGAATGCAGAAATAGGGGCTAGATGGGAAGGGGTATCTATGAAGGGTGAAGGTGTGGGATCCTCCTGTTAGTCACTAGCCCAATTTCCTCCCCCACAACCCTGTTTCTCTCTCCCCTCCCCATGGGAGGTAGGGCCCCATCTCCCATCTCCACTGCACCCCACACTCACCCTGCACCAGGCTCGTCGCCAGCAGTGCTGTGGCCAGGAGGGAGCAGAGATGCCCCATGAGCCAGCCTTGCCTGGTCCTGTCTTGGCTAAACCCAGCTGGCTCCATCGCTCTGACCAAAGCCCAGCTGGGGAACGAATGTGCCGGGGAAGGTAGTTATAGACACGGCTTCTGCCTCCGCCCTCCCCAGATCTAGAGAGAACAGGTGTGACCCATCCCCTCATGAGCCACTCAAGGAAACAAGGGCTGCTAAATTCTGCATGCAAACAGGGCGCGGCCATTCTCATTCTGCTCTGCCTGGAATTGCCCCAATATAGGCGTCCTGGAAAACCAACAAAAAAGTGCATTGGTCAAGGTTACGGTGGGGAGGCCCATTTTGATTTTAACTTCCCTGTTTTGTTAGCAACTCAATGTGTCAAGAACAGCTGGCCAAGGACAGTGCCCAGGCAGAGCTAAGGTTGTAACGGGGGTAAGGTTAGCATGGGGGGTTCCTAGAATCTAAGGTGAGAAGGCACCACTGTGATCAGTCGCACCCTGGTATTACACAGGCCAGAGACCTGCCCCCACGTAATTCCTAGGGCCTAGCTTTTAGAAACACATCCAGTCTTGTTTGAAAAAATGTCAGTAAGGGAGAACCCACCACAACCCTCAGTAAATTGTTCCAAACCTTAATTACTCTCACTGTTAAACATTTACACTTTATTTCCAGTCTGCATTTGTCTAGCTTCAACTTGCAGCCATTGGATCTGCCTGACTGACGAGCCCATTATTAAATATGTGTTCCCCCGGTAGGTATCTATAGACTGGGGTGAAGTCACCCCTTAACCTTCTTAAGCTAAATAGACTGAGCTCCTGGAGTCTCTCACTCTCAGGCAGGTTTTGTAATTCTTTAATCATTCTCATGGCTCTTCTCTGACCCTTCTCCAATTTATCAACATTGTTCTTGAATTGTGGGCGCCAGCAATGGACACGGGATTCCAGCAGTGGTCGTACCAGTGCCAAATACAGAGGTAAAATCAAATCTCTGCTCCGACTCGAGATTCCCCTGTTTATGCATCCCAGGATCACATTAGCTGTTTCGGCCACAGCGTCACACTGGGAGCTCACGTTCAGCTGGTTATCTTTTCAGTCTCTTTTTCCCAGGAGTGAGTCCCCCATCCTGTAAGAATGGCCAACACTCATTGTTCCTAGATGGACACATTTTCATTTAGCTACCTTGAAACACACATCAGTGATCTGTCCTCTTCCTTATTTACCACTCCCCCAATTTTTGTGTCATCTGCAACATTTATCAGTCATGTTTTCTTCCAGGTAATTGATAAACATTTTAATAAAATTGTGATGCTACACCCCATATTCTTCATAGAAATATTGTCATAATATGATTATAGCATATTGAAGATGTATTTTATGCAAGATGGGTCTTGTGAGATATAATTGGAAAGGTTTTGATTCGCGGAATATGATTATCTTATTTGTATGCAAGTATCATATATGTATCTGAAGTTAGGAATATTGACTATTTAATAATTACAAGTGGGTTTACACCTGGGGAACACCCACCAGACAGAATGCAATCACCCTAGATGGGCCATTAGGGGGAGGAATAGGACTTTAAAGATGCTTCCTGGGATGCTAGAAACAACCTTTGATTCATGGCTGCTTTGCAACTGCAGGGTCATGTGATTAAGTCACCTGGTACTGGATTCCATGATAGAATACCAGTATTTTTCCACTGGGGGTGGAGGGGAACCACACTGGCAAACAAAGGGTTCCTGCCATATGTAAAACCAATTTAAGACAGGG